CAGTTCGGTTCGGGTAATCTGAACCGAAATGCCCATGCCTAGTTTAGTTATCTACATTTATAGCCTTAAAAAAAATTATTTGATTAATAATATTCATGCTTCATATATTACAATTCACTCAGAAAATATAGTTTCAGCGTTAAGTAATTGGAAAAAAAAAAAATCATCTAAGTTTTTGAATTTAGTAAAATAAATACAATTGAGTCAAAATGCTACACATTTAACCGGCAAATTATGCTGTAAAAATGTGTTAACCATGAGCATGGTGAACACAGGGGTAGATCTATTATTTCTATACTGTAGATTCATAATTTTGTTTTTTATTTGTTGTTACAGAAATTATGAATCTACAGTACAGAAATTATGAATCTACAATATAGATGTTATGAATCTACAGTATAAAAATTATGAATCTACAGCTTAGAAATTATGGATCTATCCCGTTAACAACAAATGAAAAACAAAATTATGAATCTACGTTTTCAAAAAAAAAAAATTATAAATTTATAGTACAGAAATTATGGACCTACCCATGTGTTCACCATGCACATGGTAAACACGTTTCTACAGCATAACTATCCCATTTAACCACTAAAAGGTGATGTTATTGACATTGGTTTTTCTCAGTGTTACATGAATTCCAAATGTACACTATATCATCATCATCATCATTATCATCATTATTATTAGGGAAAATAACACATTTTCTCTCTGAGTTATATACTTATAACACTATTTCCCCTTGAATTATTTAAGTGGCTGTTTTTCCTCTGAAATGTTAAATGGACATATATACCCTTAAAATAAATATTTTATTTATTTTTCTTCTCCAACAAATTATGATCACGATTCGGCTCAAACCGAACAGACACTATAGCAACTAAACTGAAATATTCCAAATTACAATTTAGAATTGAAACATGATATTTAGATTTTATTAAAATCACGAATCGAAACGGCCGGTTCATGTTCCGAGCTGAAAAAAAATAAAATATATTTATTGTTGAATTTAGACTATTTTAAAAATAAAAAATAAAAATTTAAAATAAAGACGGTTCAAAATCGCAAACCGGATCCGGAACTGCCGATTCACGGTTCAGGATCCAATTTTTTCGTTTCATAATTTTAATAAATTGAAATCCATATATTGGGTTCTGAATCTAAATCATAATTGGAAACTTTCAATTCGATTGCTATAGTGTCCGGTTCAATTAGAACCGAACCGTGGTCATCCCTACGTATAAGCAATAATTTATTGGAAAAGAAAAATAAATAAAATGTTTACTGTAAGGGTAGAAATATCAATTTAATATATCAGGGGGAAAAACTGCTACTTTTAGAACAATTGAGGGGGCTAATGTGTTTACTGAATAACTCAGGGGGGAAAAGGTGCTATAAACATATAATTCAGGGAGAAAAAAAATGTCATTTTCCATTATTATTATTATTATTATTATTATTATTATTATTATTATTATTATTATTATTTTCAACCTTTTTCAAAATCTAATAGACTAATATCGAACAATGTGGCAAAAACAAACGGTCATATCGATTAGCTTGTGTCTAGATATGGACCTTAGGTTAAAGGGAGACGAAGGTGATTGTCATAATGTCATAGACAGTCCATATAAAAGAAAATAAGTGTGCTGATAAGCTCGCCAATTTGGGTTAAGACCACGATTGGGGGACTTCGATCCTGGAGGATCCTTCGAACTGCTTAAAGGAACTCTTTCTTGGTGACGCTAAAGGGGCTTTTGCTCATAGAATCACCTAACAGGGGCCTTTGCCCCCTCCGTTGTACCAAAAAAAAAAAAAAAAAAAAAATAAAATAAACCCAAAATATCAAATTCTATACCAAAATTTACACCAAAAGGAATATTCTCAATATATTCTTATACCAATTTTATTTATCTCCCACCCATTTACATCAATTCTACGTACACTAAATTTTATCAGTCGTTATATCGTAGACCGCGGTAAAAAACGTCATTTCTTTAAGTAAAGAAAGAGCCCACCGTTACCGTTAACAGAGTCCGCATGTTTGGTGTATTAAACACCAACTGACACTACAATATATCTAAACAGACACTACTGCCTCACGTATTATTTTTATATTATCAAATGAAACTGCAGTTATATCAAAATGATACTGTAATTGTGGTGAAATGAAATTGCAGTGTATGTAAAATGAAACTGAATAACATTTCACATATTTGAGTGTATATTGTACAATGAAGTTGAAATTATATCAAAATGATCATGTAGTTGTGTTTTAATAAAACTATAGTGTATATAAAATAAAATAAAATAACATTTTCACATATTTGAGTCTATAAATATCGAATGAAACTGTAGTTATATCGAAATAAAACTGTAGTTGTGTTGAAATGAAACTGAATAATAGAGTTACTTTTTGCGGAATGGCGCGAAACGGGTGACGTTTCTTTTCATTAAACAAAACGATGTCGTTTTGAAGCTCGGTGCATAATCGATTATGCACCGCGGTGCACGATATAATTTGCCCAATTTTATTCATACACTAAAATAATTTGTATTATCATAAATTAAACTTTTTTTTTGTTTACTTTAATTGTTTTAATATAAAATATAATTGTAATGCAAATATAATTATTTTATATTTCACAATAAAATAGCATATAACATCTATTACATTTTTTTTTTTCAAAATTGTCATATTGTTGCCACATATATATGTTCAATCAATGCATTACGAAGTACATAGTGTGCTTCTTTACCGGGACGGAGCCAAAGGGGGGGGGGGGGGGGGGGGGGGGGCAGCACCCCTTCACCCCACCCCACCCCATATATCATATTTGTATGTATATATGTATATATAGTATATGTTTTAGTATTAGTATAAAAAAATTTAGCAAATGTTAATAAGTAAGGAGTTAGATTAGTTAATAGAGCATATGTTTGGTAATTGGAAAGGTCTTGGGTTCAAATCCTTATTATATTAATACACACACACACATACATATATAACATTTTTTTATATTAATAGTGAGATGTGTAATTTATAATGTGTTTTCTATTCGAATTATTTTATCAAATTAATTATGTTTCATATTTTGTTGTGAATATTTTTATAAAATTTTGAAGTGTTTTATTTTTCGTACATATCCAACAATATTTACAAATATATTTCTTAGGTAATGGTTATAAAAAAAATCTTAGGTAATTTATTTATTTTTTTAATTATCTCTTTTGTTTTAATGTTTCGCTTTTACAGAAAAAATTTCTGAATCCGTCCTACTTCTTCGCCCCCCCTCAATCGAATTTTTGGCTCCGTCCTTGCTTCTTTACCTTTTATTTGTCTATGTCAAATAATAAATTCTTGAAATAGAGTAGTCTCATATCTACCAATATCATATTGTGCATTATGATGCACGATTATATCATGCAATACGTGTTTATCCCAAAACTAAACTTGTCCATTGATTATTGAAAATAGTGATTAGATAGAGGACCCTAAATACACATTCTATGTCTTTTTTACATGCTTCTTGCATTATTGCAAATAACTTTTTTCATTAGCCATCGAGGCTTATGAATAATTTGTATCGGGGTTGACCATTTTAGATATATACTATAAACTGAATAATATATTGTATTGTACTCTTTTCCGTGAATAATATAATGAGCAAGAGGTGTTATACCGTTTGCAAGGTTTGCAAACAAATGAGATACCGCTAACGCATTAATGTCATTATTCGATCCTGACTAACTAAAATGTGCATGCCAAATTCACAAATCATAATCAACTGCAACCTCAAGAATATTGTCCAAGTTGTTAGATAATTTTTTGAAGCCCAATGCATACAATCTAAACTCCCAATCATCCATTGAAAGCCACGTGTAACACCCCCAAATTTTACCAACATTTTAAAGCTTAATTTAAAGAAAACAGTCTAATCATTAAGAATAAACAAAGCGGAAGCTAACATAATTCGGGAAGTGCTATGCCACATCTATACCAAAAGATAGGTGCATAGGCTACAACTAAACCATGTTCAACATTCTAAGGCTCATAGGCCAACAAAACAGAATAAGTCTAAGCAAAAGGAAGCGGGAAGAGCTACACTATTTAGGGTCCACATCTAGCGCGCTCTTCGATCTAATCAAAACCTGTAAAGACAAGGGATAACACCCGCTCAGCGAATAATGCTGGTAACCCACCAATACGCGTTAAGTATCAATATATATACATAGATATAGTCAAAACCGTTTGAAACTGAGGAGTACAATATATATCATTTGAAAACCAAGAGATGAGACAACAATCGACATATCACACTCTCAATAAAGATAAAAACCAACAACTTCAACAAAGCAATAGAGACCACAATCAACAAGCGACATACACAACTCTAGATGCAACCTATCATTCACAAGGAAGAGTTCATCATAGACATGCTCATAAGCAAAAAATACAACAATCACATAATGACAAGTTTCACGTTTTAACCTTATGCCCTGTTCCAACCTTATGGCTACCCCCGGCTCCAACCGTTACCTCCTAGTAGGGGTGAGCAAACGGTCGGTCGGTTACATAACCCCGACCGAATAACCGAAAAACCGACATTGTTTTTTGACCTTCGTAACCGACCGAAGGTGGTCCTATGACCGACCGATAACCGATTGTCAGTTTTCGGTTGGTTACCAAAAAACCGAATAAAGCAAGAAAAAAATCAAATTCCAAAACTGAAAATTAAAAATCAACATATTCATACTGGTAGTCTGTTGTCTGCCCGAGCCAATGCTCAAAGGCCAAAGTCACAAACAGTACAAACTTACACTCATTAGTCATTACTCATTACAAAAATAGTCCCAAACTAATATAAATCCAAAGTTTTAAACCAAAGTCTCAAACAACATATTGAAACAATCCAACACCAACAGTCTAATAGTCAACAACTAGTAATATAAAGATATTAAACATATATAGTTTCATAGAACATTCTGACAAAGTGCAACTTCAATTCCTTCAAATCTTCAATTCATTCAACCCTATCAAATGAAATATAACAAAACTATTAGTATTATTACAATTAATATAATAAAACAATTAGTATTATTAATATCAACTATCAAGTGAGCATGATACCTTAATAAGTAGAACTCTTCCACCTTCTATTGATCAATCACGGGCTCCAAACTAATCTTTGAAAATTCTAAAATCACATCAAATAATTTCAAATAATTAGATAAAGATGAATAAGAAATTATAAGTTTATAACTTGAATATTTGAACACAAAAAATAAAAAGTAAAGAAAGAATTTAGAATGTACACAAGTCAACTTTATCAATCTCTCCAGTTTCATACTCAATTTCACCATCAATTGAGTTTTCAGTTTCATTCCTTAGCCAATCTTAAGCACAAATGAGAGCTTGTACAACTCTAGGAGTTAAAGAACTCCTATAACTATCAAGAACTCGACCACCCGTGCTGAACGTTGATTCATATGCAACAGTGGAAATAGGTATAGCCATTACGTCACGAGCCAAGCTTGAAAGGATTGCAAGTCTATGAGCATTTGTTTTCCACCAATTAAGTATATCAAACTCATCATCCTCGCCTCCATTTTCAAGTTGTTCAGCAATGTACTTATCCAAATCTGTGATCTGATTAGCACAACCAATTTGTTCCAAATACTTTAAGAATTCCTTATTAACAACTTTTGGTTTCCCTTTCTTTGGAGGTTGAGGTATAGAAGGCATGTTCGCACTTACAAGCTCACTTGATTGAAAAGTCTCATTTAGTGAAGATGAAGAAGATTCATGCAACCTCTTGTATTCATTAAACAAATCTGCCATAACTTCTCTAATATTTTTAGACAATTTAGAGGCTTAATCATCTTCATACATCCTTTTGAAACAAAAATCAGAATACACATACTTTCTCCTAGGGTCAAGCACAGTTGCAACATACAACAACATATTCATTTTGTCCACATTTCCCCAATACTTGTCAAATTTATCCTTCATTCTTTGTGCCATTGAACTAAATTTTGGATCCTTACTCTTTATCCAATCACGCAAAATAGAATACACTTCACAAATTTCAGGAAAATAAGCATTTGAAGTAACATACAATGAGCCAGAAACTTTCACAGTAAGATCATAGAAGTGTCCCAAAAACATGCACAACCTCCTAACATTTTTCCAATCATCATGGTCCGGAATTCCTTCATTATTTCGGAGGTCTTGACTATAATGTGGATCAAACTCCTCAAATCTCTCAAAGGCCCTCTCAAATTTTTGTGCCGAATCCAACATAAGGTAAGTAGAATTCCACCTAGTGTATACATCTAAGCATAACAAAGCCTTGGATTGAATTTTCTCCAATTTAATACATTCTTTAAACTTTTCCAATCTAGATGGTGATTGTCTCACGTATCTCACTGCCCCTCTAACATGACAAACTGATTGATTACTTTCCTTCAAAGCATCATTGACAGCCAAATTAGCAATGTGGGCAACACATCTCATGTGAAGAAATTGCCCACCTAAAATAGAACTACACAAATTATTGAACTTCTTCTTCAAATACCCCGTAGCAACATCATTTGAACTAGCATTGTCTACTGTGATAGTGAAAACATTATCAAGTCCCCAATCACGCAAGCATTTCTCAATTGCCTTCCCAATATCTTCCCCCTTATGACTAGAAATTGGGCAAAATTAATTATTCTTTTGTGCAATTTCCAATTCTTATCAATATAATGCACTGTAAGATATATATAATTCACTCTTTGCAATGCTGTCCAACTATCAGTCGTAAGAGACCCTATCACAAGAAGATTTCAAAAAGTTGGACATATTGTTCTTTTCATCCAAATAAATTTTGTAACAATCTCTAGCAACAGTCCATCTAGATGACATACGAAACCTAGGACAAGCAGTAAACATGCATTTTTTAAACCCCTTTGCTTCCACAAACCTAAAACGCAATTCATCAATTATGATCATTTCAGCCACAGACCTTCTAATTGCCGTTACATCAAACTTCCCATAACTTAAAGACTCCCCTTCTGATGATGGGACAATTAGTTTGGTTTGAGTAGGGTCGATATTACTATGGGGACATTTTGGGAGGCAGCTTCTAATGTGAGCTTTTAATGAGCTTGTGCCATTCAATTTAGGGTCAACATGAAGTTCTTTTGCACAATAATTACACCTAGCTCTTTTTTTTTTTTTTTTTTTTTTTGATGTGCTTCAGTTTCAAATTCGGTAAAATGCTCCCATACCTCAGATTTTGCCTGGCTAATTTTTCGTTTCTTTGACTTAGATGCACCGGCTGTTTTAGTACTTGCATTTGCATCAAGGCTAACCCCTTCCATTTCGATTGCTTCATCTTCAGAATCATGTTGTTCATGCATCTCAATTGAGTGTGTTGACATCTACAATTAATAAATTTTACATGGTAACATTTAACACTTAAAACATGACACATTCACACACTATTAACTGTTTAATTAGTACAACTATATAACACAAATAATTTTAAAAAAATTTGTTTAAAAAATTTATTTAAATTATGTAAAAAAATTTAACAGTATGCAGTTTAAACACAAATAATGTAATAAATTCACACACTGTAAATTATGTAAAAAAATTTAACAGTATGCAGTTTATGTAAAAAAAATTAAAGTATGCAGTTTAAACACAAATAATGTAATAAATTCACACACTGTAAATGATGAGACCCAAAGACAACAAGCAAATGATCCGATGAAAGTCTCTAGTGGACCGACAACAAGATCCAAGTCAAAAAAAGATTCAAGAGGCTTTTAACACTTTTGTGCAAGCAAATTGGAGTACAACAACTATTTATGAAGAAGGAGATCAATCTGGAGGAACAAATCTATTCAATGGCCTTTACATCAAGACTTTTGAAGAGAGCTACTAGCTTAAGGAGTGTGCTTCACCTACTAGCTTGATGAATCACCTACTTGCTTAGTGATTCACCTACTATTGTGTAACTTCTTCACTACCTTGCTACTCACTCACCTCCTTGTTTGTCATCAACCAAGCACCTCAAGCAACTAGCTTACTCAAGGAGACAAAGCATTAAATGCTTATGACAAACCCATGTGAAAGATAGTAAGTTGTGGAAGAAAATTCAGCCTACAAAATTCTGATTTCATACGCAAAAAGGGGGGAGGGGAGGTTTATTTTGCAACTTGTAATTTTTAATTATTTACTTCATAGTTAAGGGATGAAACCTAGAATATTTTATACATTTAAATCCCTGATTTTTCCCTATAAAAACCTGTAACACTCCGTGTTACGGCCCCTAAAACCAATTAATTAACCCTTAGCCCAAGAGAAAGAATAAATTATAATAATTAATTAGGAAAAAAAGCCCACCATAGTCCATGAGCCCTTATCCCTAAACCCAATCCTTAGTTCCAAAAGGAATAGAATTAGCAAGCCTATAATATTAGTTCCTAATCAGGACTCCTAAGTATATAAATAGGGGACTTAAGAGGCACCTAGAACCCTCCCCACAAGATTAACGCCCCACCACCCCAAAAGAGCTCCAAGAATCCCCTTAGAAGAAATCAAGAAAGCAAGAAAGCTTAAAGAAAGACCGTTCATAGCCAAGGAATTAATTAAGGCTAAGAGGTAACCCATGTCTCAACAAAACCTATTTTCATAGCTATGATTTCCCCCGTAGGATTTCCCCATATTATTGTATATTGATGATTTGTGATATTATTATTGAGGATTGATGGGATAATTCCATGGGTGATCTTGATATTGGGAGATTCTTGATAATGATGATGTTCTTGATGATTATGCGGAGTTCTTGATGTTTATATGTCGTTCTTGATAATTGTTTGGCATTCTTGATGCTTATGTGTTATTTGTACCGAATCTTGTAATTAGAAGACGAATCGTATTCTTGTTGTTATAAAAGTGATTAGAACCCTAGGTTGTATCGTATGATATTATTCTTGGTGTATCGGGTGGGGAAATCGCATGTTTGGGTGTCAATTATGTTTAGAAAAGCATGATAAGTTATGTGCCGTACGTTTCTCATATTTGATCCGTTAATTGTCTACGTGTTAATCGTTAATTGCGTTGTAAAGTGTCTAAGCATGGTTTCGGGTCCCACAATGGTTCCCGGGGCGTTTTGTGCGTAAAGAGTCAGTGGGGGGTAGGGGACCCGCCACCTACCCGCGGCCAGAAGGAGCGTCTCCGGCAGCGGGCAGCTGCCCGCCGGCGACCCGCTGCCCGGAACAGTATTTACCGGCGGGCAGCCGGCGGGTGGCCCCCCACCCACCGGCTACCCGCTGGAAATCATCCCCATTCGGGACCCCGGCTTCCCCGTTTGATGTTTCCCCGATCCCCGTGGTGTCCCAACGGACTCCGTCTATCGTGCCTATGTCTAGTTGGATATTTCGGGTACCGTTCGTAGGTTGTATGAGTCTTATATATTGCATGCTAGTTGAATTGGTATCCCGTTGACCTAGGTGGAAGAAGCATGAACCCCTTACGATTATTCTTAGTATGTGAAGGATCACGCATAGGTTTTGTTATACGTTTTCTCCCCCTTCCCAATGTGTCAATGTGGGTTGCATGTGCTTGCTATGTGTTATGTGTGCATGATACCCCAATTCGGTTGCGATCGGATTGGTTATTCCTAGGCTGCGGTTCAGAAGCTGGCTGCGGTCAGATTTACACTCTTGGGCTGCGGTCCACCGTTTGGTTGCGATCAAACGTTTCCACATGAGCTGCGGTTCATACTTTCCTAGCTGCGGTCAGATGACATTCTCTGGGCTGCGGTCCACTGTTTGGTTGCGATCAAACACTATGATGAGCTGCGGTTCATCGGTCGGTTGCGATCGACCCCTCCGTGTTGCGATACGGGGCAGGGTGCTGCGGGGCCGTGTCAGAGCTATATGCGCTGACCCTCATGTATGGGCATGCGATTGGTCCTGTGGCGCCAACAAAGTGTGCTATGTGTTGAGATATGGATGAGTTGTGATTATGAGTATCTTGGGGGTTGTGACTATGGGATTTATGTTGGGGATTGTTTACGTTGGGTTATGATTATTAATGGTGCTCAGCTTTATCTCTCTTGCCTGTTGTGGATTGTATAAGCTTGTTATAACTATTGCTTGTGTCTAGCCTTATCTGTCGAGTCATCCCCGTATTTAAAAGCTAGAGTTCGTAGGATATATCTTCATGCTCAAAATGGTTTTCGTATATCTATATATATCTCTATATGTAATGTATTTCAACGCGTTGGAGTGGGTTACCAGCATCTCTCGCTGAACAGATATATTTGGCTTTCAGGCACAGAAGAATAAGTCACTGGAGCGCGCTAGAACTTGGAACGTAGAAGTATATAGCTTCCCATTCGGCCTG